CAGCCTCACGGCTGCTGCACCTCACTAGGGCCCAGCACTGGCACCACTGTGGTCTCGACACACTCGCTATCTGTTCCATTACACTGTCTGCTGTGCATTCATGATGGACCGCAGGCACAAGAGAAGAACCACAAAGCCCACACATTAAGGGGGGCAGGAAAATGACTGAACGCTGGGACACCTGGGCCTCAAACCCAAGGTAAAAAGGTGACACAGACAGCTAGGGCACAGTCAGCCTTTCATTCTCTGGGAATGAAGACCAGGCCAACTTATAAAGGGCAGAAACATGCTTACAAGTGACAACTTGAAATCATGGTTCATGGGATCGGCATTTGACATTATGATGATTAAAACTTTGAAAATGCCAAATGCAAAAATTCCAAGTGGAAGGTCACAAACAGCTCTGGCCAGTTATCGATGACAGACAAACTACCTTTTAACATACACTCAATCCTAAGTCAGGTCTGACGTGGGCCTTTTTAATTGGTGTTTATAAATTAAACTCCTTAATATAATTAGTGTGTTCCTGCTGCTGCTCAGTTGCTAAGCTGTGGCTGACTCTCTGTGACCCCCACGGCCTGCAGCACGCCCAGGCTTCCCCGTCCTTCACCATCTCCATGAGTTTGCTCAAACTCGCGTCAATTGGTGTATGCTACTTGCTAAACAGAATCTTTAAATCTGTCTTTAAGCAACGAATATTGATAGCATTTTAAAATTAACATTGAGACATAACATTCAATAATATAATGGTTCAAAACAAAATTAAAATAATCGATAGTAATAATTTAAGAATGTATATGATTAAGACATAAAATAGGACCCTTTGAGGCACAGCTGCGAGGGGAGACAGACAACGAGAGGTGATGCATGGCCTGGGCAGCCCCTCAGGACAACACCGGGGACCAGAGGAGTCTGACTGCCACGTCAACCGAGACGACACGCCCAGCGGCTCCGCCACGGCCGGTGTCGGGGATGGGGTGGGGGTCCCAGCTCCTGCCTGTACGGGTCTACACTATTCAACACCTGGAAAGAGGATGAGAAGTGTGCTCGTCACTTCAGTGAACACACACCAACAGGAGCAGGAGGGGACGGAGCAAATGCAGTAAGTCATTAATCTCCTTCCAACTGGAGGCTCCGCGAGTGGACTAGAAGGAGAGGGTAACCCCGGGGTGGGGCGCCGGGCAAACAGCGGCCTTGGGTTTTGAGGCACAAGAGCCTTCCTGATGTTCAGTCACTTTTGTGCCCCTCTTAACATGTGGTCTTCATGGCTCTCTGCTTGTCCCCGTTACACGCACAAACCAGACAGTAAAGCACAGAGGATATGATGTGCTCGTCAAGACCACATGAAGGAACTGATGCCTAAAGAAACAGGAAATGACTTGCTCAGGACCACAGAGCAGATGAGAGGGAGAATCAAAATCTGAAATAGGAGGCTGGTACACTGGGTTCTGAATCCTGCGCTTGTTAAAACCCTAAATTCTCGTTAAATTAAAAACCCATTCAAATCAACACAGGAACCTGGAAAAGATTGACTGTGATAAAATCTAGCACTGAAAGTGCCTTTATTACATGTCTGTGAGCATGGGCCCCCCACAGCGTGGAACAATCCCACCCCACGGGAGGAAATGGGATTTTTCTAAATGGCCGGGGAGAAGCACCATGGTGTGTCAGGCAGGTTGTGTGATTTCTGTTAATAATGTAATAACTCCCACACCTTACACCCTGGCTCAGGGGAGTGCATTTCCCACAGAGCTCAGAGCAGCGATGTGTAAGATTGGATCATTTATCCTAACGGTCTAGGAAGAAATTGCTCCTGAGGAGGGGAAGGCAGGGTGGCCCCATCCATTTCAGTCTGTCCCCAACAACATTAGCAGGCGGCGTGGTGTAAAAAGTGAATCTCAAAGGTAATTGATCTCCTAAATAAAAGTCAGCTGAAAGCTAGGTACACCCCTGAAGGAGGATGGTTAAAAAAAAAAACCAAAGAGAATTCCACCTGCCATCTACGCTGTGCTTTGGCTCCGGGAAAACACTGGCCCCTCCATTGTTCAATTTGAGGGGGGCAGAGCTGGTGACCACAGCAGTGGGGACAGAGGGCTGAGGCCGGGAGAGATTCAGAGATGCTTCCACAGACAGAGCAGGTAAGGGGAGCCCAGGCCTCTGGAATCCCACTTCAGAGCACTGTGGGAGGAAGCAAGGGTTTTGCTAGACAGAAGACCAACATTCAAATGCATCTCTTTTGCTCATTAATGTACAACCCGGGGTGAGTTAACATCTGCATACAGCAACGCTGACTTAAAAGGGTTCTCTGAAGTTTAAATAGGACACTGCACAGTGGATCAAGGGCATGACTAGGAATAGGGTGGGTCCTGAATAAATGGGATTTCTCTGCCCTGACTTCTTTTCTAGAACTCTATCAGTAAAAAACTACCAATGAGAAAAAAAGGCATAAATCATCAGCACTAAAGAGAGGAACTGGTGGCTCAGCTGGTAAAGAATCTGCCTGCGATGCAGGAGATCTGAGTTCGATCCCTGGGTCAACCCACTCCAGTACTCTTGCCTGGAGAACTCCATGGACGGAGGAGCCTGGCAAGCTACCGTCTACGGGACCACAAGAGTGGGACACAACTGAGCGACTAAACCACCACGGCCAATGAGACGAGCAGATACACAAACCAGCCCAGCCCAGGCACAAGTGAGGTATTCTGGTTTCAGGACAGGGTACATGAGTCTTTTTATGCCAGCAATAAGGCTGTCTTTGGATGAATGTATGGCTTCTTTTTGCATCAAAGTCAGCTTGAATGCCCATAATGGCTCCAGCTAACATGGATTCGGTCATCTAGCTGTGAATCTGTGCTGCGGACCCCTTGCAGTCAGGGTATCTGGAAGCCAGTCTGTCACCGGCAAGCTGTGAGACTCTGGGAAAACCACAGGCCTTCTCTGGGCCTCATTTGTGATGCAAATGTGTTAAGCCTGGCCATCTCTGGGGACGCCTGACTCTAAAATGGCCCGATGCTAAAAGAAAATTCTCACCTGGGACCAAGATGAAAACCAGTGTCCACAGAAAACCATGTCATGTCAACCTGAACAGAGTATAGATAAAATGCATAATTCTGCTGTATTTCAGGCCAACAATTTATACAGGTCTCTAAGGAAACTGGGGCATAAATATCAGAGTGGGGACTTTGAACTTTGTCCAGTAGGCACTGGGAAAGTCTTCAAGCCAGACAGTGATGTGGAAACATTTGTATTTACAGGACGATATAAGAGCAGGCTGGAGGCAGGGGAGTATTTCTAGAGTCCCAAGGAAAGATGGCAGACCTCAACTCACAGGATCAGGGTTCAGCGAGACTAAGCAGGAAAGGAGAGGGATTAGAGGAAATCAAACGTCAACCCAAGAGCAGGGAAAAGAAACACATAGGCCAAAAGGAAGAGAGTGAGGCCGGTGACCAGGAGCCAAACCGCACGTCAGCCTACCACCAGCTCTTCCAGGGTACTGCACCAAACCACACGGCAGCAGTATTTCTCATCTTAAATTGTCATTAAGAACTGCAGGGGCCATGACACGGAAGCCAGATAGCAATAGGGGGAAACGAATCCAACTTGGTGACAATCTGCACTGCTTCTCAGACCTATTTATGAGAGCGGTGGCAGCAGGAGATGAGGGGACTAGAAAGAGATGCACGCCAGGGTGATGGCGGAGCGGACTGAACGCACGGGAAGGGCCTGAGAAACTCCAACAGCATCTGGCAGGCATCCCGGCCAAAGCTCCCCGCCGGCAAGTGCTTTGATGCTTTATACAAATTCAAAACAGAGGCGAGTGCTGGCAAGAGAGACCATTACTCTGTGGATTGAAAAAGTGATAGATGATGAAATGCGATGCTGAAAAGCCCAAGCTCAGCCATTAATTCTCACTGAGGCCATTCCCCAGGGGCTGGGAGAAAAGCAGTCTTTGCTATGAACTCAAACTGCCCTTACTTTTGGCGGGGCGGGGGTGCTGTATCACTCTAAAGAGAGTTTTCTATTGACATTAACAACCCCCGTTATACCCTGTGGACGGCAGAGCCCATGGGTGGAGGGGGCTACTGCACATGACATTCTCTGCCCCCATGGTCAAGGATGGACAGGTAAGGACGGCCTTAACTCCATCAAGCATAAGTACCGCTAGGCCACTCCATGCTACCCAGGAGGCAAGGTGTCCCTGGACAGGGGGATGGAAGCACCTGAGGGGGTCAGGACCTGCCTTTCGAAGGCTGCTCACCACTGGGCGGGAATCCAACCCCACAGGGTCTCCAAGTGTCTGGAGCCCCACTCAGCACTATTTCCAGGTCATCACAGGTCAAAGTTTGGGGTGAGAAACTGTCATTCTCCCACCTAAGGGAGGACAACCTTTAGTATCTCTGGCCTCTTCTGGGTCTGAAGGAGACAAACTGATTTCTTCCTCCCTGAAGGAAGGCTAGGCCGGGAGAAGCAAGCAGGAAGAAAAGCCTCCCCCAGGGAGGGCACTCTGGGCAGAAGTGACCCCACCCTCCCGACAGCTGGGGGCTCCAGGAAGAGCAGGCCGAGATGCTGGACGGCCTGGCCCTACACAGCCCTCCTGGGAGGACCGAGGACAGAGACAGGCAGGCTGGGCTCCTCCAGGAGGGCCCAAGGCACAGGGACACGTGCCGAGTCCCTGCTAACAGGAGACCTGCGCCAGACTGGAGCGAGGACAGGGCCCAGGACGACGAGCAGGAACCGTGTCCTGCCCCACGACGACCACAAGCAAGCACGCTGCAGGGATGACGTGATCACCACAGCGCAGGCCAAGTGGGAAGGCCGTCCACTCTGTCTCCCTGAAGAGGCATTTCCCTACACTGCCCGTTGATCTGATGAAGACCAGGGGAGGCTGACCACCCTGGCACATTGGGCGGCGGGACCAAGATGAACACCACGGTCAGAACTGCAGGTGCAGTGCCGTCAGCCTCGAGAGCAAGGCTGGCAAAGAGCTGAGGTGCACGTACCTGGTGGCCGGCAGGGTACTGACCCGCGTGAAGAACACAGACGGCTCCACCTCCACATGCAGCCCCAGGCCCAGGTTCCTGTAATACCCTTCAATGTGGCCTGGGCCTCCGGAGTATTTGAAGTTCAGGACAGCTTCCAGGGTCTAAAAAGATGGAAGTAAAAAAAAAGGTCAGTTACTAATCCCTGAGCCGACCGCCATCTAGCCATGGGGCCGGCCTCACTCAGATGAGGGGACGGCGACCCCACGGAGAAGCGATGAGCACCGGCAGCCCCACCCAGGGCAGTCACTGGCACCTGACCCTGGTGCCATCTTTCCTCCAAGGATGCCCCGCATCCAACAACACTCACACACAAATGGAGAGAAACTCGAGGATGACTCTGTGATGCGATCGAGCATTTCAGAGAGACAAGTGCATTTCAATCAGCATCACTTAAACATACGGATCAGGCTGGAGTGGTGGGTGGGCGCTTCCATGAGGGAGCTGGAGCATGGCTTCTAGGCTAACAGTGAGTAATGCTGACAAGCCCCAGACTCGTGCTGACAAGCCCCAGACTCGTGCAGACAAGGGCATGAGGCAGCCATGGAGCCAGAAGGCCAAGCAGGAACAAGTTCCTTCCAGGAGGGACGGGGTGGGGACACCTCACCAGGGGCAGAGCTGGCTACCACACAAGCCAGCAGGAAGGAGTCAGTTCAGACGTCCATGAACTTCTAAGGGCTGAGAAGGGGCTCTACTAACAGTGGAGACCCTCCAGACGCAAGGACAGTTCCCACCCATGCCAGGCTCTTCTCCAAGGACCTCCCCTGGCGGCTTGCACACTCCCCTGGGGGGCTGGCAGGGGCAAAGGTGCAGGGGAGCCTCCCTGGGTGGTACAGGCATGGAGGATGTGGTCAGCAGCCACCAGGAGACAAACACGAAACAAAAACCCCAGCTCCAACGCCCTGCCCCCATCCCGCCCCCATCCACACCCTTCTCTCCTCCAAAGCAAAATCTTTAGCTTCTGGAGGTGGGGTGACCAATGCCAAGGGCACACAGGCAGAGGTAAACATCCATCCTAGTGAGGCAAAGACAGGAGGGTCAGGATCCTAGAGCGACGCCACCTGAGACAGAGCAGGAAGCCCGTTAGGGCGCCCACCTCTAGACCAGGCAGAGGCTGGTGCTCCCGGGGCAGGGCGAGGGACTCCGAGAGCCCAGGCCCAGGATGCGGGCTGCGGCTCCAACTGGGGATGGAGACAGCGGAAGGACAACAGCGTGCCCCCTCTGCTCCTGCGCTGACCTAGCAGGCCCCCAGTAGGAAGCCCCCGGGGTAGGAGGGAAGGTGTGGAGAGACCCCCGTCCAGGCGTTGGCAGGCAAGGAGGGCTCAGGGCTGAGGAGAAAGGACCTTTATAGGGAAAACGCTTGGAACCTCAGCAGCCCCTACCACCTTCCTCCCCCTCCCCCAGCATGATCTGGAGCCTATGCCGCACCAACAGTAACCATGGCAACAGGAAATCTCAACCCCAGCTCAGTTCCTCACTAAAATGACTCAGCCTTCCCCAGTAAGGTCCTAAAACAGGCAACAGCACACTGCGGCCCATGGGCCAGACCTGGCCTGCAGCCTGGCTCTGTATGCCCTGGAGCTGAGAACAGTCTTTTACATTTTTAAAGGGTTGTACAACAAAACAAACGACAAAACCAAAGAAGACTATGCAACAGAGACCACAGGCGGCCAGCACAGCTGAAATATTTATCAGCTGCTCCTACACATAAAAAGTTGACTAATAAAACTCTTAAGAAGCAAACATAGGAATCAATCATCAGGACCTTGGATTAGGAATAATTCCGGAGAGAGCACACCAAGAGACAAATGGCTGGAGTCATGGAAACCCAAGGAGGGCAGAGCTTTGGGGAGGAGGGCAGAATGCCCACTGCTGCAGCCACGCCATGTAAACCGGGCCTGAGAACGTGCCCACCACATCAGGAGACTGGCTGGGCTCCGGTGACCCTAGTGGGGGGCGCTTCCCACAAGAGGAAGCGGGAGGGTGAGCTGGGAGCACTGTTGGGCGGTAGAGTGCCGGACGGGGCCTCAAAGTCACATGTTCAGGGTGGGGATTCGAGCACACACCCACCCACGAGAGCCTCGGGAAGCCACGCGTCCCACCCACAGAGCAGGCCCGCCCGCCTGCCCTCCTCCCCGCGCTTCACCAGTCACGACTCAGTAAGCCATCCACGCGAGACACAGCACTTAGCCCTCAGTTACTGCTTTCATTGGCCCAGTCCTCCTCTCCAAAGGAGAGGCAGGCACAGCTACAAAAGTATTTAAAATGAAAGAAAAGCACCGTGTGTGCGTGCTGTCGGGTACCATCCCAGGTGGAGGACAGCTCTCCTCTGGGAAGGACACGGAAAAAAATCCCAGAGACAAGCAGCCTGGTTCAGCAGGTGGGAGGCCAGTTAAGCTTGGCTTGATGCTCTGGCTAAGTGAGATCTTGAGCATGTTGTCCCATCACTCAGCCTGTTTCTTAACTGTTAAATGGGGCTAATGATTAACACCTATCTCACTGGACTTTAGTGAAGACTCACTGAGAAAGTGAAGTATAAGCTCAGGCAGGCACTCATTAAAGAGACACCTTTCTCCCTCTGCACCCTGACCACTCAATACCTGAAGGCAACATGGCTTAAAATAGGAAGAAAGGGGAAATGGATTTTAATGCCATTTATTTAACATTTTTTGTATCGTGGTAAAATACACATAAAACTTACAATTTTCTCCATTGTTAAGTGTACAGTTATTTGGCATTAGGCATTTCCCCATTGCTATATAAACATCACCACCATCCATCTCCAGAACTCTTTCATCTTCCCAAACTGAAACTCTGTATACAAACTACACAAAAATTCCTCTTCCCCTCCCCCCAGGCTCTGGCAACCACCACTCTCCTTTCTGTCTCCATGAATCTGACCGCCCTAGAGACCTCCTGTAAGTGGGATCGCAGCACTTTTGTCCTGTTGTGACGGGCCTATTTTTTCAGCATAGTGTTTCCACGGTTCATCAGTGTTGTTTCAGAAAATAATTCCTTTTTAAAGTTGAATAATATTCCACTGAATGAATGTACCACATTTTGTTTATCCATTCACTTGCCAACAAATGCTTGGGTTGCCTTCACTTATTGGCTATTGTGATTAATGGGGTTATGAACATGAGTATGCAAATACCTGTTTGAATCTCTGCTTTCAATTCCTTTGGGTATATCCCCCAGAAGTGGAATTGCTGGATCATAAGATAATCCTGTATCTAGTCTCTGTAAAGAATCACCATACCACTTCCCACTGTGACAGAACTATTTTACATCCTAACAGCTGTGCACAGGATTCCAATTTCTCCACATCCTCAACAATGCTTGTTTTTTCCTGGTTGACTGGTTGTTTTTAGTAATCACCATCCGAATGGGGGTGAAGTGGTATCTCATTTTGGTTTTGATCTGCATTTCCCTAATAACTAATGGTGTTGAGCATCTTTTTATATGCTTAATGGCCATTTCCATATCATTGGAAAAATGCCTACTCAAGTCCTTCAGTGCCATTTTAAAAGCTCATTGTTCCAACTCGTCTCCCACCACTCTTCAAGGAGGACGTGTTTACACCTGAACTTTGGTACCGCTGGTTCTCTTAACCTGTATAAATGTTGCTCCTCTTTCATGGCCCCCAGCAGCCATGCCTTCTCCAGTGAGATGGCTGTACTGCCTTACTTTAAAATGACTCAATGAAATACAGATTTTAAAAAAAATACTCAAGGATCATATTCTGGTCTCACCAAAATCCCAAATTCTTTTTCTACAGCATATAGCACTGTCCTGTAATCTCAAAAGGACGGCCAAGTTTACATCTTAAACTTTTGAAAACCCTTGTTGTCAGCACAAGGTGAGACCCCCTCATACACACATCCCAATAATTCTTTCTGTAATGACTTTTTTAATCCAACAGACTTCCATTTGTTTGGTCTATTCTTTCCTTCATCTTTTCAATCATTTCCTGGGTACTTTCTGAGTGCCAGGATCTGTGCTTAGAACAATGAATACAGTAGGGTCCCTGATCTCAGAAAGCTCACTGTCAAGTCAATGAATGTCTGAATAAATTAACTGATAAATAAACAAATAAAGCCAATCCATCACCCAATATAGTCATGGCAGTCTCTGCAAATGCAGGTATGAGGGTCAAGGAAATAAACAGATTCTCAATAATGGCCTTGAAAAGCCAAAATCTGTGAAGTAATTTAAAAAAAAAAAAAAACCTCATGCTTGCTTTTTTTGTTTTTTAAAGTAAACTTACAAGTTGTCTCCAGGGACTGATATAGTAGAAACCACCTGGGAAATAAGCAAAAACTATACACAGAGAGGTAACCATCAAGTACCACATAACAAAGAAGAAACTGTATTTTTATTTTCTTGGAATTGGCTATTCCCTTACACTGTAGAGAAGCCAAGTAAAAGATATAATTATGGGGGGAAAAAATAATTTATTAAAACAAACACAGAACAGATTTTGTGAAATTATTGCATACTATTACCTTCCTTCCTTGATTAAAAAAAGCCTTCTCAGCTCCATAAAACTAGAATATTTTAATAAAGCCATAATGTGGGCTAATAAGGGAGAAGATATGGGGTGCCCACGCTTTATTTCTATCAAAATGTAAGGAGAAGCAATGCACTACTGTGCCGTAAGACTCTTCCTTCTTCAAACATGTGACAGTCTTAATTTGTGGGAAGATTTACTATACAGATCAGAAACGGGCAAAGAATTAAAGAACAATTATTTCTTTTCTAGCTATATAGTAATTTGTTATTTCAGCTGAAATGAAAGGTCTTTCAAGAGCTGCCTTTGACTGAGCACCTACTAGGTGCCAGACGCTGTGCTACCCGAGCTTCACGGGGGCTCTAACATTGAGAGCCCTCCAAGGAAAGCCCGGTCGGCACAAATGTGCAGCTCAGTGACCGGCCGAGGCCACGGGCCCGGGTTCAAACGCAGAGCTGCACGGCGGCACAGCCCGCGGTCTTCCAGAGCAGTGTCCACCCATCCGTCCACCCACGCGTTCACTCACTCACCCTGGATGCATGTCCACTAGAGTGAGGGGCTGTGGCAGGAGACATGACGCCATCCCTGTGGGCT